GTGGCAACTGTTCTCGTTTAGACAGCAACCCAAAGGGTTAGAGCTTCTACAGAGAGGGAGAAAGAAAGAATCAGAAGTCCAAGGGGCCAAGCAGGAAGGAGAGTGATGTAAGCAACTGCTCTGAGGACGCGTTCATTCCTTTTATTTGGCAGCTGTTCCTAAAAATGAATTTTGAAAATCTACTTTTATGGGCTTCCTTCTTCTCTTCCCAAGGATAAAACTATCCTAATTAGTAATTTTCGGTTTCTCCTACAAAATACTCAAAGCTAGTTAACTTGTAAGTTAAGCTTGCTGTGCAGACCACAGTACACCTGAACTTTTCTCAGAACGCCTAACTTCCAAAAGACAGCATTGGCTTGGACCCCTGCTTCAGACAGGTCCAGGGTGAGACACTGTCACACACTCTCTCCTCTGGACTGTAGCTTCTAGGTATACAGCACGACACAACCCTGTCATTTTTAATTTTCTAGGAACTACTTTAAAACATGAACTAGGAGGCGGCTCACTCAGGAAAGGGCTTGTCATGCAAGCATGAGGACCCGTGTTCAGGTCCCCAGCATCCACCTTAAAAGCCAAGTGTCGGGGGCAGGAGTCAAGAACCAAAGGTTCAAAGGTTCAAAGGTTAAGAACCAAAGGTTCACAGCAGTCAAGAACCAAAGGTTCAGTTCCCCGGACCCACATGGTGGCTCTCGACTATAACTCCAGTTCCAGGGGATTCAATAGCCTCTTCTGACCTTCACAAGATCCTGTACTCATGTGGCACACATGCACTCATACAAGCATGCACATAAAACACATACACACAAAAACTTAAAAAAAAAATTTCTCCAAAGCTCAGTGTGTCAGTGTGCACCTGAAATCCCAGCACTGGGAAGGCAAACAGGTGGATCCCTTAGGACTTGCTGGCCCACCAGCCCAGCAGATCCAGGTTCAGTGAATGTCACTGTTTCAAAAAGGAAGAAGGAGGGTGCTTGAGAACGACATTCAACAATGAACTCTGGTCTGCATACACACACACACACACACACACACACACACACACACACACAAACACAGAACTTATACCTGCATACATACATACACACATAGCAAGAAATAAACAATTCAAAATATTAATATTAACCCAAAATAATATAATCACTTTGACAAAAATTAATATGAATATTATGAACATGTGTTACACATTTAAAGGACAGTTAAATTTGGACAAGCTTCAGTAGCTGTCACAGTTGGGAAAGATAGTTCAGGTCTGAACTGCTCCCTTTCAAAGCAAACATGCTCTCACTTTGAACTTTGATTGCAATTGGCTCTCTAAATTCCCACCTACATTCTTCATTTACCCATTGGCCAATACACTGGTATGTCTGCAATGCCCTAATCATTATGCTACAAACTGGAAATACAAAAAGGTGTTGCTTGCCCTAAAGCTCCATCTGTAGGAGTGAGAGCTACACAAAGGGTCAATTATACAAAAATGGAAAGACTGTGAGTCTCTGAAGGAAGTACGTAAATGTGGCTTTAGAGGTGGCACCGAGGGACCTCCAGGCAGGATGAGGAAGGACATTCTAGAGACAAGATTCACCATAGGCATCTCCATAAAGGATGGCAGGATGGGGGGGGGCGCAAAGGTGAAAAGGGAGGGAATCAGGAAAAACATGCAAGGCAGAGAAGGGTCTGGTATGTGACAACGGGTTTGAAGAAGAATCTCCGAAGCGTCCTTCTGTTCAGGAAAAATGCAGACGCCACTGGACTTAAGCTTTTGGTGAGGTCAGAGTCTGTTCCACAGCCTGGGCCTGATTGCTCCGCAAGACCAGGACCATGTGCTCGGTTTTCACTCTTAATCCCGGGCTGCGGTGCTCTTGAAGTCCTTTCTTTCTGTCTCCAGGCCTCCATCCACTTTGGCCTCAGCATAGAAGAACGCCACCGTCACCTCTGTGCTTTTAAATTGCTCGACAGGTGGAATTCTCGCCCCATCGTGTTTAAAATGGGGATCCCAACTACCCACGGACCAGAACTCCTAAGGGGGTAGTTCAAATGCATTTATGTTAAATGCCTTGAAAATTGAAAAGATGCCCCTCCTAACCTTATGCATGCATGAAGTGAGAGGACCTGCTCAGGTCAAGGCCAGGGGACTCTCCAGCCAGGGCTGCTGGGTGGAGCACCTCCCACCTTCGGGAGGTAACCCAGTGCACGACTGCTTGACGTATGTCCACGGGAGGCGCCACCTAAGGGGACAGAGATCAGGGTGGTCCTGCAGCCTTCAGGGCGGGAACCCTGAGTCCCGCCAAACCGGCCGCTCGCCGACCCTACGAGCGCCCCCGGCCCGGGTCAGCCCCTCCTCGCGTGCCGGCTAGAAGAAGAGGGTGGAGCAA